CTTTAAGTTAATAGAAAATCTATTTCTAAATGTTTCATAGTTCAAAAATGATCCTTATAGAAGTCATAGAATAAGAAAAGGTTAAATGTAAAGTATTGAGATGCTATTATCAAATGTTTATGAATGTTGTATTATAAATAAAATTTCTATTATTTACCTAATGCCCACCAATCGACACTAAAATTATAATCATGATTTCTCAACATTTCCGGTGCTAAATAATTCGGTGTACCACAAAATGTACTTGTTCGCTCATCACGTTTAAAATCTAAACCTTCTTTACACATTCCATAATCAGTTAATTTAATATGACCATCAGCATCAAGTAAAACATTATCTAATTTTAAATCACGATAAATAACACCATGTTCATGTAAAAAATGTAAAGCAATTGTTATTTCTGCTGCATAAAATCTTAAATAAAAAAAAAAACCATAAAAGAAAATATTTTTCTGAACTTTTTTTTTATTATTATATTTAACCTAGCATTTGATTCAGGAAGTTTTCTTTGTCGTTGCATATGATACATTAAATCACCACCAGTTACAAATTCAATAACAAAAAATAATCTTGATGGTGTTTGAAAACATGAATGTAAACCAACAAGAAATGGATGATTTGTTGCTTTTTCAAAAACATTTTTTTCACATTGTATCCAATCAATATCTTCATCATCATTAACAATAGATTTTTTAATAACTTTCATTGCATATAAACGTGGTGGTTGTTGTTGATTATTTAAATTATTACGTAAATGTCGTGGTCGATATTCAGCTAAAAAAACTTTTGCATATGAACCACGTCCAATGACTTTTAATAATTCAAAATCTTGTAAACTTATTGATGGAGAACTCGATGAAGAATTTTGTATATCACCACTTGCATCTATATAATGACTATTTGTACCAGTTGGATCATCAATAGGAGAACGACCAAGGTCAGTTAAACCTAAATATACATGATTTTATATTTTGTTTTGATATAATGAATTGATATGAATTTACAATACTAAGAAAAGTCCTAAAATCAATTATCATTAGAAAGGTCAAAATTGAGATACATGGATGGGAAGATAGTCTGAATTTTAATCCTTTATAAAAGACATGACTTTTATTAATTTGATCCAAAATTCTTGATGATTTCTGTCATCTTCTGCTTGAAAAATATGCTTCAGACAAAGCACAAAATTATTTTCTCTAGTTATACCATTCTGATCAAGCATCCTAGAATTCTCGAAGAAGCTTCATTGTAACCATTTGTTTAAAAGAACATGTAAAGCTACAGTGTCTGACAGAGCCTGTATTTTTCAATTAATCTTTTTAATTATTATAAAAAATAAAGTACTTCTATAAATAGATGATCATTTTTGAAGAAATTTTCGAGACATTGAACTTGTCATCCGTTTTCTCCATTTAAAAAGTACGAATTGAAAAAAAAATCAAGACACTGCAGTTTAATATGTTCTTTCAAATAAAAACAAAATAATATAATCATCAAGTAAATTTTTATTATTGACTATACCTTGTGCTCGTTTTAATGGTCCAGGTTCACAAATACTTGACATCTTTTGTTTAGTCATCGGATCTCGAGCATTCATAACACTAGCACCAGCTGGTCTATGTCGACCAATTTTATCCGTAGTTCCATTCTGTTGTTGTTGTTGTTGTTGTTGTTGTTGAGTTTCATTTGGTTTTTTATTTGATAAAAATTGTTGTCCATTTGTTGTTATACTACTTGTTGATGTATGTCGTCCATTTGAATCCATAGTTTTTGGATGATATGGTGATGAACCTGCTGATGTTGTACCACAAACAATACGTAAATGTTTTACACATCGTTTATGTACAAGAACCTTTTTTTTTCAAAATAAAAATAAAATATATATATGTTTTTTCTTGTATATAGATTTTATTTCATTGGTTTTTTTAAAACATACTCGACAATCAAGACATTTATAACCTTGTCTACCTAAACCCCACAAACGATCATTACAAACAGTACAAGCAGCTGTTGTACTAAATCTTTTTGCTTGATAACGATGTCCATTAATTAAATAAAGTTTTTTCCAACGACGTGCACCACGTCGATATATAAGTGGATCTTCACCTGGACATAATAGTCCTGGTTGTTCGGGACGACTTGGAAAAACATGTATATGTAATTCTTTATCACCATGTTTTCTATATAAACGTATAGCTGTATTTAATTCTCTTTGTGAGGACATTGTTATTGCATCTAATGATTCATCAAGCCATTTAACAGTAAATGTTGGCGGATCAGTTAATGTTAAATGACATATTGAACATAAATTATTATAAAATGTTTCTAATGTTAAATTATGTGGTAAATAAATAACCGTTGCTTGTTGTTGATAATGTATTAAAAATTTAACTGTTGTTATATTATCATTATTATATTCATTAGCCATTAATAATGATGAAGAAGTTATTGTTGACATCACAGTTTAAATCAATAACATTATGGAATGTATATCTAGAATTTTCTAATAAAATAAAGTTGTCTAATTTTTCCTGAGATAATTTTTTCTAATTTAAAAAAAAATATGTTTAAGAACACAGCAAACAAAATATAAATAAATGATGACTAGTTTTCATATATATACATATTAAAGAATAAAACACATACAGTAAAAGAAATAAACTTATTCATGAGCAATACGTTGATTAAGATTAGGATGAAGAGATTTTATAACAGAAACTTTACGTGATAAACCAACACGAGATGTTTGTAATGATGAAATTATTATTTTATTTGTTGGAAAACCTAATGGTACATTAGATTTTTTCTTTGAATGATCAGTTGTTGAAACTAAATCGATGAGATATATGTATGTACATACAGTAGCTCCCAAAATTATTCTACGAAGTTTATTTTCAATTTTTTCTAACACTAATAAGAATCCAAATAGTGATCTTAGCACAGAATTCTTGAGAATGAAAAGAATTGATAATTTTTCAAGAATAAGATCTCTGAAAAATTGAAAGCCAAGTTTCTCATCTCCTAGAATTCCGGAAATAGAATCAGAACTCGATAGTTTTTCGACAATAATACAAAATTTTTGCAGACACGACATAAAAATTGGGGAGGGAGGCCACTCCATCCTGCATCGAGACCTATGAATAGAACGAACAATTCTCTACAAAATGAAAAATCTTCCAGCTCTCGACGACGTTTTTCAACTAAGATACATCAATTTGACAGAAGGTACATTTTTATGTCTTTCGTATGATTAATGTATCTCAGTCCGAAAACGTCGTAGAAAGCTGGGAGATATTTCATTTTGTAAAGATTTTTTTGTTTTATCATTTTGTATAATTTAAACAGAATTCTTATTTACAAATTCCAGGAGATAAAAAACTAATAATCGTTTTCATATTCGAAAATTTTTAATGGAAATAAAATTTGAAAATAAACTTCGTCGAACAATTTCGGGAGGCAATATATTTATATTTATTTACCTGAAGATTTTTGTTGACCACGTGTTATTAATCGAGATGAATTAAGATCACTTGATGTTACTGTTAATATTTCTTGAAGAGAGAAGGAAAGAAAAATATTTTGAGTTTGTAACTTTTTTTTTATATTACGATTCAATCTACCAGAATTTTTCTTTTTTTCTTCTTTTTTACGAATAGGTTTTTTTTGTGGTGTTGGTTCTTCTTCTTCCTCTTCTTCGCCAATGTCGTCTTCTTCTTCTTCTCCATTATTAGATTCGTTTTCATCAACATTCTCTTCTACAATTACATTTAATAAAATAATGATTAAAAATCTATATCTTACCTTCTTCATCTAGTTTCATTCGTTTATTTTTTGGTAATGAATTTTCATCTGGTTCATCAGGTTCTTTTTCTGTTGTTGTTTTACTTTCTAAAAATAAACATCAATAGAATTTCGTCTCTGTTTGTTTTCAAAATATTTATCTGTACCATGACTTGATACTGTTGATGTACTATTCAAACTTTCTTTATCATCGGTAATAATTGGAAGTTCAATTGAAGTTTCATTTGATTGTACTGTTTCTTTGGAAAGTTTAAGTGCTAAATCAAGTTCTTCTTGTTCAACTTTTGATAATCTAATAAAAACATGATTTTTCTTTTTTTTAATGGTTTATTCAATACAAAATTGAAAGAACGAACTTTTCTTTACGTTTTTGTGATAGTTGTCGAGTTGAAGATTTTAATTCTGTTTGCTGATCATTTAATTTCATACTACGAGTTTTTTTGGTATTGTCACCTTTTGAAATAAAATCTAAATGAAATGCAAATAAGAGTTGACAGATATAAGTGACATTAAAAGATTTACCATCGTCATCATTGTGTCCTGTATAAGATACTGTTTTTGCTGTCCTAAATAAAAAAAAGAAATAAATAAAGACACGTAAATAGATGAGAATTAACTTACCGTTTAGCACCAGGCATATTTATCAAAAAAAAAAAATTTATATATATATAAAACAATGGAAATAGTCTATAATCTAAATATTGGATCATTTATGAAATAGTTTAATGTTTATAATCAAGTGTTATCAATTGATTTGAATTATTAAGAGACAAGATTATTTTTGATTTTATATTCTTTTATCGATATAAGAATATATTAGGAATGAATATATTAATGATCAAAAATGATGATTAATGAGATATTCTCATATTCAAGTTAATCCTACGTATACTCATTTAATTTTTTATCGAACATTTTTGTCGTCAATATTATTGAAAGATAGAAATATACATAAAATTTAAGATCGATTTCAAAGATAATAGATAAGAATAATTGAAAAATGATTTTACAAAAAGATTATAATTATTTCAATTTATCATAGTCTATAAACTTAGATTTTTTTTTTGTGAAAAGATTTCGTAGACTAACAATTCTAATGATATCTTTCGTACTCAATAGAATTAATAGAATTAATAGAGAAGTACCATAGTAATATAAATACTATTAACAAATGATTTTTCTATTCATGCAAACGTCTTTTGTAATATATTAATTTGCTGATAAAATTATTAGTATTTTAAACATAAAACTTTCATATAAATTTCCATCAATGCATTCACTATAATTAAATAGAATAGAAAAATAGTAGACTTGAAAATCGACTTCAGATAAAACAAGATTTCTGTTTATTCTCTGACGATGAAACATATCCTAATGAGTTATGAATATCCTGAAAAAAAGTTCGAGCTATCGGATTATCAGTGCTGAAGTATTGTATTTTTTTATTGCAATGCTATGTTCCCTTCAGGAGTTCTAAGAAAATTGAGTTTTACCTTGAATCTTTACACAGAGATAGATCTTAATCAGAACAGCTTATTGTGAAAGTTTCAGATCATTTTATTTTTTCTATTCTAAGATATGACTATGATAAAAAGCACGTTTTTAACTTTGTCCATATACATCAGTAGATTGCAATGTTGTTATTTTAGAATAGAAGCAATCAAATCTGAAACTTTGACAATAAACTATTCTGATTAAGATCTGTCTCTCTGCAAAGTTTCAAATCAAAATCCCGTTTTCTTGGTGTTTCTAAGGGGGGCTACGACACTATACTAAAAAAATACCGTAAAAATACAATACATTGACAGAAATAAACTAATAGCTCGAAATTTTTTCAGGATATTCATAGTTCATTAGGATCTACATAATGCACATAATCCTGACTCAAAAGTGATTTGACACTTGGATATATTCCTTCGTGAGAAACACTTCTTATTTACAATATAATTTCTTCATATATTGATAATAAATACGAATAGATGTAAATATATTCGAGGATTTTCTAAATATTTAAATCAAAGAATTCAATCAATACTAATCTAAAACAAATAAATGTAAACATATTGTATAATATAAATAATTTTTCAAATTTATTTATATAATATTTATTTATCTCGTTTTCTTTTTTTCATTAAAATAATACAGAAACAAAAATCGATAAAATACAAATAAAGACTGAAATTCAATTAATATTCATCGAATGATATCCACCACCATGGATATATTGATTCGAACTAAGATATGATGTTGCTTGAGACATTTGCATTAATTCATGAAATTTTTCTGCTTTGATTTTTAACTCATGTGTTCGTTTACGATCTTCTATAAAACGACGTTCAAATTCTGTTACTTCTTCTTCAGTTTTTTCACCATCGAAAAAATCTTCAGCTGTTTTCTAAAAAAAAATTTAATAGAAACAAAAAGTTTTATATTCAAATCTAGCAGTATAATCAACATAGGATTCATCTAAAGATAATGTCGAACCATACTAATTAATCTATTTTTAAAAAGATGATACTAATTCTCCATCACACTACAATTCATATCTAAGTTAAACAAAGGATATTTCAAAAATATTTTGTATAAATTCCATAGGTAATCAATCAACTGTTTTTGTTAAACATAATATTTAATAAATGTTGAAGACTATAGTAAACAAGATTGATCACATGGAATTTCTCATGATAAATAGTAGTACATGCTTAGATTCTATATCGATAACATTTCTTGCTGCTTTAGAATATATATATAGAATGGTTCCAAAAATTGATCATACAGATTTAATTTCGAATTGTTTCCAACAAATATTTGAGAAAAATGAAATTCTTATTATATATCGCAAATTTAGAGTCTCTAGGAAATGCTAAAACCTAGTTTTTTCAGTATTCAGAAACTTACATCTTCAAGTTTCTTCTAGTTACACAGAATGATGGAACAACTAATTCTCTAAATAATGGGATACCTTCGAGCTATCAGCCATCCCATTTATATTTATATATATTCATCATTGAACATTTAAATTTTGAACGAATAATTTTCTATACCTCAGTAGATCGTTCAAGTTCAGATGCTGCTGTTTGTAAGAGTACCCAAATCATTTCTGGATTTGTTTCACCGATTTGTTCTTCTATAAAAAAAAAATAATAATAATAATTTTTATCGTAATTTAAGTATTAAAAATATTTTTTACCATATTGTTGTTGAATTGTTTTATATTCATCTCTCGCTTTATTAAGTTCATCATGTACTCCTCCAAGTTTTTCTTTTTCATGTATAAGTGTTGGTTCTTTATCAAGATTTTGTAAAGCTAAACGTTTAATATTTTCTTTTAAACTTTCTCTAATAATTTCCATTTGTTGAATCTAAAAAGAAAATTTCAAAATAAAAAAAAAAGAACATTTTAATTTCAAATCAATGTCATACTTCATAAAGATTTCCTATAAGTTTTCCTATATCGTCATCATTATTCATTAATTTTGTTAAATCATCAACATTTTTTTGACTAATAATACTTCGTACTTCGTTCAATGCATTGTCATGATTCGCATAATAACCGTTCATCATTTTTACAAAAAAGCCAAAAAACAAAAAATCTTGTAAGTGGGAGAATTTATTTGCTTGTTTCGTTCTTTCTCTTTGTTTGAACAAATAAAATAGGTCATGATTCATTTTCAACCTGCTATTTATCATTGCCTTTTCAATCACCAATCAGAATTAAGATTAAATTTCTTTTTTTTTTAAATGCAAAAATTAAATGATCTGGATTCTTTTTTATTGAAATTAAAATCAGAGAATATATTTGATAATAGAATAAGTCAAAAAATAAAATAAAATAAAAAATAATTTTCAGTGTATAATGTTCGACATATTCTTTTATTTTACGACAAGAGATTTATAGCAAAGAAAACATATATTAATTTTGTTCTGTTTAATATCCTGTTTATAATAAATTAGTGGTGTAATCAGGGTAGGATTAAGTTGGACGGCAGCCAACAATCGGAGTTGGTTACTTAATAATCCAACAAATTACAGTAACGACACTTTATTCTAAGAAAAGGTAAAAATAAAAAGTACGCAAATTGTTCGCTTTCTTTTTTCTTTGTACTCTATAATAGTCTCGGGTTGATCGATTCAATATTTTATAGTTTATTTTTAAAAATAAGTGAACTCTGTTGTACTGCTCGACTTTCATTTCAAATATAAATTATTCTTCTAGTCATGTAGGTCACATCTGACATGTACACAAATTTTTGTAAAATGAATTTTATAATGCGAATATTTTCATTAAAATATAGTCAGATGATAACGAGACAAAACGTGTTGCTATTCAGGGGTTTTTCGGTTTGTCTTTGATAACAAAACAAAAAACCAATAGGTGAAAAAGTTCAGTATGTTGCGTCAATTAATAATAAATCTTTATAATCATTTAAAAGTGCTTATTGCTTGATGCATAGACTTTTCAAATTGATGTCATTATTATCATTGATGACAACAGAATCCAAACAAAGTCGATATTAATCTTAAAGATATTAGTCTTTTCTTTTCACGAATGAATCTACAACTTAGTCGACATTATCGTTGAATAGAACATAGATAAGAATCTTTAGCTATTATTTTTATTGCTTTTATCATTTGTTTAATTTCTTGAATATAATAAACAAAGTTTTTTTTTCTTCTTTGATTTCTTCTGCTATTAGTTATTTAAAATTAAAATTAACTAACAAAAAAAATCAAGATTTCTATCAATCATATATGAGTTACGATATAATAAAACAAAAAGGAAAATATTTCACTAATTTATTTTCGAAGGTATAAATAAAATAATGTTAGTTTACTTTGCTGATCGATTTTTGATACTTATTATGAATATAAAGATAATACCTGAAATAAACAATAGTGAAATTATAATTATAAAGATGTTCTTAATAAATAACTCATTCAATTGATTCGAGAGTGAATGAATTTAAGTTAATTTGAAATAATTTTATTATTTCAATTGATTGTTATGATTGTTTTATTAGTTAGTTTAATATTCGTTCGCACTGCTGATGATGTTATGTATGTGTTATTTGGAGACACAAATTGAATGAAATAAATACAAGATTATTTAAAAAATTTTTTTTTATTTGAAAGAAAAACATATTATCGTCACCTTTATTTTATAACAAATAAATAACCTTCATGATCGTAAATACACTTTCAAAACTGATAGGGGAACGTCCAACTACCTGAAAATTTTTGACTAAATCACTATAAGCATACTTGACTTTGCACAGAATTGAATGGTCTACAACAAGATCGAGGTAAGACTATCATATAGTACGAAATATGTGCAACCCAAAAATATCTTTTATGCTTGCATAGACGTTGTTTTTGATTTTTTTTGAAAGCCTTTCTAATGACCAATGAAAATATTCTTTGCATATATTCAAAAAAAAAACATAATTTTGATTGTAAATATTCAATAATTACTCGAATATAGTAACAATACAAAGAAAAATGTTAAATCAAAATCTTAGTCATAGAGATTATCGTTATATTTCCTCATTGATAGCTTACCTTTCATTGAATATCCCTATTTATCAATTTAGACTATTAGGCTATGCTATTCAAATAATAATCATTGAATAAACGAAGGATTGTTTTTGTTTTTTAAATTTAAAATTAAAGATAAATTTTATCCGTCATACAAAGTTGAATAAAAAAAATATCATGTTAATAATAAGGTGAATTAACCTATTTATTCTTATCTACTTGATCGAAGCGAAAAAAAGTACGAATGTCTGCTTTAGAGAACGCAAAAAAAAATACGTTGAAAAAATACATTCATTTCAGTACGATACCTTTCTCGTTGTAAAATAGGACATGTCAAAGTAACCGATGACTAGCGATATGCGTATTTCAATTTTTAATTAACTTTAAAATCAACATTAGAAATTGATCAGGTAGATTTAATTGTATAATTATAATATTTCTCTCGCTTTCTCGAAAAAAAAATTGTCTTTATTTATCATAATACCCAAATGGCCTTATTCATTTATTTATACTGTATAGACTCTATGTATGTTGGTTTGAACTCAATAATACTGTGCAATGACGCAAAAGAGCACTATTTATTAAGTATAAAATATATGCATATTCAATAAATTTTCACGTTACTTTTTTTTTGTATCAGGTGTCGAGCGTTATATAATAAGTAACGTGCAGAATAAGTACTCATAACAGTTAATATTATCTATAGTGATGCTCTACTTAATGCGTATACTAATATTCTTCTCAATAATTTCTTGGTTTTCTATCATCAATATTAATGCTGATGAAGTTATTGACGAAGAAAGTTTTTATCCTCCATATTGGTATTTAGCTGCTTCATCATTAGACGATTTTCCATTAATAAATGGTTCATCTTTTCAATATCGATTAATCGATCCATGGTCTTATCTTCATAGACTTGGTCTATATAAAATTTTAATTAATATAACAACACCATATATGCCATTTTGTTCCTCATCAAATGCATCAAACATTCTTTTTGCATTACCATCACAATTCGGTTGGCTATTTAGTTCAAATCGTCTATTTACATATGGTACAATGAGGATTTCAACGCATAGTTGGTGGGCATCAGCTAATTATTATTTATCAGTAATACCATTTCTAGTTGCTATGGATATTGGTCTTATTAAAAGAGAACCATTTCGAATAATTCAACGAGAAAATTTTTGTACAAATTTTTCTGAATGTTTTAACCAAATTCCAGATGCAATGATACAATGGTATCGATTTTTTTATCATCTTCAACAATCATCATTATGTATAGGACATAAAAAAATTGATAAACGTATTATTGATAAATGTTATTTAACACATATGTGGATAGCATATAAAAGTTCGATTTATAATTCATTACCATTAGTTACATCAAAATTACAATATCTTCCAACAAATGTTGAAAAATCATTTGGTCTTGGTTGGGCAAAATTAATTAATTTAATTTCTATGACAAGAAAAAATACAAATTTATATGAAACAATTAAAAATCAACGAAGATTTTTACCATTTCGTATGTTAAGAAAATCAGATCGAAAAGCAGATTCAAAGGATTTATCAGATTCAGTTAATAGATCATTAAAAGTTCTTTTTTCATTTCGTTTTGATTGGTTATTATTTATTGAAAAAGTTTGGGGAAGATTAACATGTAATTTTGATTCAAGACTTAATGCTCAATATACATTAGATACAATGGCTGTATCAAAATTAGTTGCCCTACAGTATTTAGCTAAAACAACATTTTATGCATTTTTCTATAAATGTGATCGTTTATATTAAATCATCAAAACTGTACTTTGTGATTTTTTTTTCTTTCTTCTGTAATGAGAATTGAATAATAAAAATTTTTGATTATATATTTGAAATACAGTTCACGGTTGTTTCATATTTGATTTTTATTAATGAGTAGATTTCATATATTTTTCTGATTTTATCTAAATATACATTTATTCATATGAATAGAAGTATATAACAACAATTAACATTTTGAAGAATGATTAATTAGTTCAGTATAATGAATAAAGTTTGTATTTCATATGTTGATATTATCGATGTATTTTTATTATAATAGATAAGCTGTAAAGAATGAGAATCTCAGTATTCTATTCAGTTTTCATAGATTTGAACTGAAGTTTTTTTCTCTAAAGATTTAACGTTTGGTTCTCTAGAAAATCATATACAACTAAGTGTCAAAGGAATAATTATAATAAATGTTATTGTAGTAATACTACGAATATGCAACATCAACAAATTTCAAGCACAAAATACTATTGTCTTATATTTATGTGTTTTTATGCCGAGCTATATGAACTAATTAAACTATCTATTTTGTAAAACTTCAAAAGTACTATCTTATTAACATGTTTCTTATAGCGCGTTACTGTTTTCAAATAAAAAGAAATCATACTTATTTAATTTTGACATAAGTAACGTTGATATAAATCTTATTTTATGAAATAAGGTTTATGAAAATTCTTATGCGTGCTAGTAAGATAGAGTTTTTGAAACTCTACAAAATGTATAGTTCAATTTATCTATATAGCTCAGCATAAGAACACATAAATACAAAAGAGTAGTATTTTGTGCTTGAAACATGTTGATGTTGTATGTTTGTAGTATTACTATAATAACATTCGTATTGTTATCTCTTTGACACTTATTTGTATATGATTTTCTACAGAATTAAACGTTATATATGACCTATCCGTTATAATGGGAACAAATATAATTATCTAAAGAAATTTTTGAGGAATGCAATTGTAAATATTGTGAAATATATATTCGTTTACTTTCAAAAAATAACTTTTATATACAGAATTTTGTTTTCTTTTCATATCAATGCTTGTGTTTACTGTCTTAGAGTTGTTTTTATTATCATTATTTATATATGAAAATTCAACTGAATTGTAGCCTTATTTTGATGACTACATTTTAATCAACATTCTATCATATAAAGTTGATGTCATGTACACATTATGTTGATCACTGCGAGGCAAGACTTATTTGATATTTATATTACAGTTTTAACAATGTTAATTATAATTTTCGTTTCATGTCCTTATTAGTTATTATTGTTTGAATTACCCGATTTACTAAATAAGAATCCTTAAGGAAAAAAGTTATGCCAAGTAATTTTAAATTTCTAATTGTTGAAACTGTCGATACACTTTAAACAATCATTAATGTTTTTCTAACACCAATAAAAAAAATGCAAAGATTTTGTCTAGAACAATAAGTTTACGTAAACTAAATTTATCCGTATTAGTTTCTTAAAAAAACATAATTCATTCCGGTTAGTGAAGTAGAAGGTTATTAAGTTTAGGCCAGTGGAAAATATTTCAATTATAATCGGATTGCTGTGCAATGCAATCATAATTATCATTGATTAAGAAGAGATTTAACCGTTTTTAATGGTTAAAATCTCCTAAATCATTTCTAATTTTGATTTTGTTGCACGATAATCCGATTATAATCGAAACATTTTTCACTGACGAAAGAAGTGAAAAATAGATCTGAAAACTCCATGAATATTCGAAAAACTTTAGAAATCCTATGAATAATAAACAAACATCTTATTATTTATTGACATATAAAGTTAGCCATTCGTAGACTGATAAACTATCTCGAATGATTAAAACAAACAAAAAGAAACACATTCTTCATAAAATTAATAATAAATTGATAGAATATTTGACTATGAATTTAATCAATTTCATTCAGCAATAGATATTTACATAAGATCATTAAAAACAAGATAGTTTTAGTGATAAATATCTTGAAATATAGTGTATCTACAGGATTTTCAAGTATCTTTTGATTACGTCTTATTATTAAAATATCTTAAACAATATCTGAATTATTCAATTTCCTTGTAAATTTTTATTTAAATTAAACGTATTACAAAGTTTCCGAAGATTTCAATGAGATTTTCACGACTGAAGTCTTACACAGACAATCAATCAATGAATTATTCAAATGATTTTCATTCTATTGTGAAAATATGTTTAAAACAAATCTTGATAAAATAAAAAAAAGTTCCTTAAAATAAATAAATAAATAAATAGGACTTTATTGCTTCGTTATATATGACAAAAGAAAGAATTTTTTTTCTGTTATAGAATAAACATCTGTAAATTAAATTAAATGCAAAAACAAAAAACAAAAATATCTATTTTATTCCCCATGTGCCATATGTTTTTTTTTAATATGACTGTGTTGTTGATGCTTTTTATTATTTTGATTATTTATTAATGCTTCTTTAATATATAATTTTTGATCCGGACTTAATCCATAGGGGTATACAACGTCAAATTCAATAATTAAATCTCCATATTTATCTGGATCTGTCATTAATGGCATACCATAACTCGGTATACGTTTTTTATATCCAGGTCTGAAAAAAGGAAAAAAAAAGAAACTAATGTCTATTAAAAAAAACATACAATACCCGTGGGTATTTTTGCAATAACTCAAGAACAGAAATAACTAGAGAGCTGTGGTTTTCACTTTTCAAGAGAGAGAATCCAGAGTCATCAAATTTTGTCGAAATTAGATTGTTTTAGCAATTGACTAATAAGATAAGTTCTTGGTAGAAATTATTGAAAACAATATTCTGAAGCTATTTCTCTGATGATTTAAATTTTTAATAGAACTGATCGATAGGAGAAAATCTTCTCTTTCGATCCTCACAAGACCAACATTCCTAGTTAGTTTTATTCGAGAGTTATAAGACTTTTTCTGAGATCCTCGATTTCAGCCAATTGAACTGTGATCACCCGATTAACTAGCTAGGCATAGGTAACTCATCATGCACAGTCGAATAGGGATGTTTATTTTTAGGTTCGAAATGATCTAACACTGTTATTTCAATATTTCTGAATTTTCACAATCAGCCTCCACGTAACAAAGAAGTCAGCATATCAGAAATATTGAGATAACAGTGCCAGATCCTTTCCATTCTAAAAATAGACATCACCATTCGATTCAATGTGATGAAATATTTATGTTTAGCTGCATTTCCTAGTGATCACGGGTCAAATGACTGAAATCATGTATGTCAGGAAAAGTCTTATCACTCTTGAATAGAACTAGCTAGGGATGTCGGCTTTGTATAGATCGAAAGAGAAATAGATTCAAAATATCGTTGTCGAGAATCTCAATCTAGAACTCATCTGATTGACCAATTGCTGACCGATCAAATCTCGATACACTTTGATGGGTTGATGGGCCTAGATCTTCTCTCTAGAATGGTGAAAACCGTAGCTCTCTAGCTATTTTCATTTTCGAGTTATTGGAAAACTACCCATGGCCATTATATGTTTGGACAGATATTAATTTCTTTTATTTGATTTTTTTTTGTTAAATAAATTCATTTTCTCACCTAACTATTTCATTAATTGGTATATCAAGTAATCGTCCATCAAGATGTTCAATATGTAATGTAATACCAATTAATGCATGTCCTAAACTAATGTTAGCTGTATAAATAAGATCTGTATTATCACGATGAAAAGTTGGATGTGGTTTATCTTTGACAGTAAAAATAAGATCCGATGGAATATTATTTGGACCTTGATCACCTTCACCTTCAAACATTATTTTTGTACCTGGTAACCAACCACGTTTAACAGTAATTGAAAGAATTTTTTCACGAATACTTGATGTTATATCATCATCATTTAATACCTTAAATAAATAAAAATATATGTTTAAGATTTAGAATAAATCGGAAAAGAAAGACAAAGATGTTTGTTGCTGTTGTTGTTGTTTTTTTCTTACTCTTCGACTTATTTTAATTTTTTTTATTGCACCATGATAACAATCTTCAAGTGAAAGTAAAAGATCACGTATTATTGGTGAATCTTTTTTCATTCGACCACGACCATCAATTCCACCAAAACTAAACATTCGATTTTGATCAGCATTTGTATAAAATTCTAAATAAATAAAATAATTCAATTATTTTTCTTTTTCTAATAGAATTTTGTTCTTTTAATTTTACCTGCAAATGGATTATCACCACCAAAAAAATCTAGAAATATTTTATCAGCATTACCATGAAATACATAACCTTCACTCCATTCATTTTCTGGTCCTTAAAATTTAATTGAATAGATTTTTTTTTCTAAAAATTAAACTATATTTAACCTATTGGTACACCATTTTTTAAACCTTCACTACCATATTGATCATAAATAGCTCGTCTTTTATCTTAATTCAGGAAATAAAAAAAATGAATATATTTATTAAATATAATACAAATGATATTAATACATACGATCACTTAATACATCGTACGCTTCAGCCAGATCATTAAATTTATAAATTGCATTATGATCACCAGTATTTTTACGTGGATGAAGTTTAAGTGCTAATCGACGAAAACTATATTTACATAACAAGAACAATTTAAAAAAATCGCTTATTTTATTTCTTACGCTAATTTAATATCACTATCGTTAGCAATTCGAGTGATTTGAAGAATTTGATAATAATCTTTTCCCATGTTGAGCCTTTTGTTTTTAACTATGATGATTTACTTAAATACGTTTGCATGACTATGAAAATTAACTAGAAGAAAATTCTTTCTTGCCATAAATATCTACTTTTACATAGCAACGACTTCTATGCTATATATGTATAATAGGCGACATCCATATTGGGCTTGGTCTTTGGCATTAATCGAAAATATTATGTATAGAGAGAGAAATAGAACTTGAGATGTACAATAGACAATATGAAATTTTTCTAAACAAGAATCTGATTTATTTTGAAAATAATTTTAATCGTAGAATTAAAGTCTTGAAAATTTTCATAACAATTCATAAAGATATCAAACAAAAAACTAGCAGCATAATTTTGTCGAGATTTTTAATCAAATATATATATATATATATATATATTCATATAAATGTGACAAAGAAAAAGTTTAGCTGAGAAGACAAGAATCATTCGAGAATAAACACTCACTAATCAAAAGATGTTTTAGTCTTTGAAATATCGAATTATAATCAATGAACATCAATTCAGAATAAAAATTATCCTATTCCATATATGATAAATGAAAAACGAATAATCTATAATTGTTGACTCTTCAATCCTTTACTCGTTTTCTTTTTCTTTTTCCTCTCGTTATTTTGTTTCTTAAGGTCAAACAAGAAATTATGTTTGTAAGCAGAATAAGTACAACTTCTTCAGGGCAATATAGCCCCATTCAATGTCAATTGATTATTAGTGAGGATTTATGAAATCTAGTTAATTAGATATTTCGTATGGTAAAATTGAATTCGAATTAGCACTATAATTAGTTTTTTTCATTCTTGAATAATATCTCAATCATTTGTATAAGTGAATGAAAAGAAAAGGCAGTATTGTCCTCAAGAGAGAGAGAGAGAGAGCGGGGCAACATTGATTTTATATTGATTACTCTAGAACCCCAGATTTATTTTTAAGACATGAATTCATCATCGTTTTTCCATCACACATCCGTTCATTAATCATATAAGAAAAAAAAATTCATCATCGGAAATCACTTTCTTCCTTAGAGAAAAATCGTTTTTTTTGCAAATGAACAAAAATGATTAATGTTTGTGTCAATTTGACAAAACATCTAGTGACATCTTGTTTTTCTTGAATAATTTTCTAAAGTATTAAATATAGTAATATGAGAATTTTAGGTTTATATATAATCATAAAAATAAAAATAAAATATCCATTAATTTGACATCTGATATCTAATGATCAATACAAAACAGAGACCATTCACCTAGTTAATGGCGCTTAACAACGGCTGCTGATTCGTTCTTTTTCTTTTCTTTCTCTTGTTTCCCTACAACAGAACTACAGAAATCGATTAAAAATATTATTATTTTAGTATAAATATTTCTTGTTTTTTTATTTCGTTTAGGTAGATATTATTTTTTTTCTATTATTTTAATCGACATAATCAATTCTATATTTATTTCTTTTAGTCTTTCTCTTTCTTTCTCTTCTTTTGTCTATGAATTTCTTAATTAATCGATTATTTATTAAATAAAATCAAAAAAACAGAATCAAATAAGACATTTTTTTTTCAATAAAAACCAATGATCGATGGCAATGCTGGAGGGGGTGGTAGCGAAACCGACATTATCGGTAGCGCATCCGAAATATTCAAAGATCGTCTTTATTTTGCTACATTACGAATAAAACCTAAATCAACTGCAAATACACATTATTTTTCTATTGATGATGAATTTGTTTATGAGAAGTAATAAACAAAAAATTATATTTCAAAAAAACAAATTTTCTTTTTCAGTTTTTATGCTGATTTTGGTCCACTTAATTTGGCTGTTGTTCATCGATATTGTACAAAATTAAATAAAAAATTAAATGTAAAAAAGAAACCAATAAAAATTCTTCATTACTAATCTTTGACTATTTGTTATTTTATTTTTGCCTTTAGAATTCTACTTTAGCACATAAACGAATTATTCATTATACAACATTTGATCCAAAGAAACGAGCTAATGCAGCTTTTCTTATTGCTGCTTATTCAGTAAAAATAAATTTAAAAGACAGAAAAAACAAAACGAGTTTCATTTAATTATTCATAGATTATTTATTTAAAACGAACACCTGAAGAAGCATATAAACCATTAGTAAGTGGTATAAATGCTGCTCATCCATTTTTACCTTTTCGAGATGCATCACTTGGTTCATCATCATATAATCTTACCTTACTTGATACATTACAAGGTCTTTACAAGGTTAATTGCCATCTAATTTGTTCTTGATGGTTATGTTCATTAACAATTTTTTTTTACTCATAGGCAATGCTTCATGGTTTTTTTGATTTCGAAAACTTTGACCTAGATGAATATGAACATTATGAAGTAAAAAAATTACCATAAAAATAAATAGATAATTAAAAAATTTTTTTTGTCCATTTTATAGAAAGTTGAAAATGGAGATTTAAATTGGATTGTACCTCGTAAATTACTTGCTTTTTCTGGTCCACATGCAAAAAGTAAAATAGAAAATGTAGGTTAATTCAAAAAAAAAAAACTTTATTCTCTATGCCTTTATATGATGATGTGATTTTTTTATAACGAAAAAATAGGGTTATCCATTACATGCACCTGAAGCATATTTTACTTATTTTCGAAAACGTAATGTATCAACAATTGTACGTTTAAATAAAAAAATTTATGAAGCTAAACGATTTACTGATGCGGGTTTTGATCATTATGAATTATTTTTTAATGATGGTAGTACACCCAGTGATGCAATTACATTAAAATTTTTAAGTATTGTTGAACAAGCAAAAGGTGCTGTTGCCGTTCATTGTAAAGGTACATTATAAGAGACAAAAACAAAAAAAAAAGAATTTTAATAAAAATAAAATATTATATTTAGCTGGTCTTGGTCGAACGGGTACTTTAATTGGAGGATATTTAATGAAACATTATAAATTTACAGCAGCTGAAGTTATTGCTTGGTTAAGAATATGTCGACCTGGATCAGTTATTGGACCACAACAAAATTTTCTTGAAGAGTAAGCTTAGAATTTGATTTATAATTACAAAAAAAAAATTATCTTTTGTAAAACATGATCTAAAAGAGATGTTAAAGTATAGAGGTAAACATTTGGATCTTCAAACAGACCGTGAAAGATCGTATATGAATAACCAGGAGTGTCGATAACTTCCCCAATCTTGGGAAATTTTCATTGATTTCCAGCAAGACTGAATGATTTTCTTCGTTTTTTTCGTCTTACCACCCTATCTTCACGGCAGTCGACCCTCCCATGTCGTGAACTCTACCTTCTTGGTAGTGATCCCTCTTATCTTGATGACCTTGGGACACACCCCTGTGAATAATGTCTTATTATAATATATGAACTCTTTCGTTATTGCATGTTTGAAGGATTAAGCAAAAGAATGGTGAGAAAATGTGTCCCAAAATAGATCGAATAAAATAATCTCTGTGTGATTAGCAACAGCAGCTATATTGTTTGTCACATGTCAATCCTGTAAGGATGCGCTAACAGTCTTTTTTCTATTTTTAGCAAACAAGCATGGCTTTGGTCATTAGGTGATACATATAGAATTAAAGATCGACCACGATATATGTCATATTTTGGTACAAATTCTATTATGGATACAATTGGTCAAAATCCACTTCACTATTCAATTGGAGATAATAATAATAATAATAATGAAGTTTGTCTTTTCAATTTAGTTTCGTAAAAAAAAAAAAGAAAATTTTTATTTAGGAAGAGAATGAAGGTGAAATAACTCAAGGTGATCGATTAAATGAAATAAAAGCACGTCGTATGCAACATCATCATTCAACACCATCACCGCATTGGATTGCACCAAATGCGAATGTAACATCAAGTCTTACGTAAGATCTTTTTTTATTCTTCTTTAAGTATCAATGACTAAGATAGTGCGACAAGGACCTTTAGCATGTTTAACAAAAAAAAAAAAAAAGAAAGAAAAACAACTAATCATTTAGATGTAAATATTGTATTAAAACTTGTCAGTCATCATTGGCACTTAACAAAAATATGAAAAACCAACATTCCAATAAAAATAATCATACAAATCAATTATTGATAATATGTGAACAATGTATGAATAACAAAAGATTTTCAACAAAAAAAGCTTTACAATTACATCAAATACGAATGCATGATAACAATCATACTATCACCATTGGTGATGGTACCAATAGGTATTAGGAAGATTAATTTATAATCGCATGGATGAATTTATCATCTTTGATTGACCATCGACACAAAAAAATCTATATTAATGATATTAAATTAATTGTTTTCTCTTTTTTTTTTTGTTTTCTAAATTGTTAATGCTCGTTAACAGTTTCTTTTCTTATTTTGCTCCATAGCTGCTTGTAGAGTGATAGTAAACGTGTGATGTGATTTAGAATAAGAAAAATAACTTTTTATAGTCTCATCCCAAGACCTGTATTAACAGCATCGATCAGTGATGATGAACAAATGATACCAATTCAAGTGTATACTAGTCGAGTGAATTCGACTCCTATCAATATTCAAGAATCAGATCAACCTACTATATTTACAACAACTCATTTGCAAAGGTGTTTTCATGAAAACGGAATAAAAATTTTTTGCTTTGATTATTTACATATCATTATTCCTTGTGCTTTGATATAATCAATTATTCCATTAGCAATTCTTATTCCTGCCTGTTTTACCGTGTATATATATATATATATATATCTATGAATATAATATTTGCATGAATAGTTTCTCTTAAATAGAAAAAAGACAGCTAAAAATTGCTTTTAATTTATATTTTTTTTTTCAACATTTTTTATCTAAAAATTTTTGTTATATAGATTCAATCCATCGGCAGCATATAAACGTGCTCATACACCATTGGCTGCAACAGGCAGCACTCCAGTTCATCATATTTCATCAACAATGAATTCATCAATTGGTATGCGCCGTAGTTATGGACCAATGTCAAATACATCTTCCAATGTTATATCAAATTCGAATACACGTAAACCTCGTTCTTATCTATCTTCAGCAACATCAATAGTAAAATCGTAAGATTGACTTACAAAATTTTTTTTTTGTCTTTATTTCATATTGAATGATGATGTCTAACATGACAATATTATTAATGAAGCAAAAGAAGATAATTGTAGTTTTTAAGAATTGAAATGCCTCAAAACATGATATTTTACACATGAATTCATTTATAGATGAGAAAATCTATAGTCTAAGGATATAATAAATCCGATTTTTATTGACCCAGAAATATTTCTGAAAAGATTACAACAAAAAAAAGTGTTTTAATTGAAAGAAATCTTTTTTCTTATTTTTTTGTAATACTAGTCCAATGTATCCGAGTGGGCGTTATATAAGTTCAATAACAAATAATAATATTGGAACAACATTAACTATATCTGATAGTGATAATCGTGATCCAATATCATCAGCTATATTAAAAGTTTCTTCAAGTCAACAAAATCGTGGTAAATCACAAATGACAAATAATACTCCATTACCTACTCATTCTTACTATACACGATCAAAATCGGTATTTCATTATATTAATTGCTTATACTTTATTTATATTGACTTTTTTTTTGTTTTTATTTTCTTTTAGTCTTATTCCAAATATTAATATGCACTATATGAAAGATAGAGAGAAAAAAAATGAATAAATTGTGTTGCTCTTCAATGCAATCTCTCACTCTTTCTTTTTTTTGTGCCAAATTGCGTGTGTTTTTTTTTCAATGAGAATTGCTTTTTTTTTCTTCTATTCGTTTTGTTTTTGTTTTTTTTGTAGTTGCAGGATTCTGTGCTTGAATAATGATGAAAAAAAAATTTTTTTTTTTTTTAAAAGAACAAGTACTCTCTTTGTCTCTTGTGTGTATGCATTTTTTTTTTGTTAAGCTTATTTACTGATGCTGCTGCTACTGCTGCTGCTGCTATTACTGATGCTTTTTTTTTTCTACTATTATATACAAATGGAGTTTTTCCTTTTCTTGTCTTGTATATGTATTCTTATGTAATTTAAACGAAAACAAAAATATATAACTAAGAAAGGCGAGGAAAGAAGCCCACCAAAGCGAACAAGCTATTATTGATAATTGAATTTATTCTTTTTTTTTGTTTTGTTTTATATTTAGCTTAAATTATATGACTAATAAATGATGATGATTGTAATGTATATAGAAAAAAAATCTCATGTTCCATTTTTTGATATAATGAGATTCAATAATAATACATGGAAAATATATACAAATGATATATATATATATATTTGACTCTTTATTTAAATACTGAATAATAATGTTTTCTGTTTCATCGGATTTTGCTATCAAATGTTGTATAAATTATTCGATCAATTCTTTTGAATAAAAAAAATAACAAAAAACCATCTTCAATTATGTTATTTTTCTTGAATATAATCATTATGAACATCATCAAATTATTGACACCGGTGATTACGATTTTATTTTCATTCGTGTTGTAATGATATTTTTTCTCGGTCTATTCACAGACTGATGACTTAAGCATTAAGTTAAGTAGTTCATCATCATCGTCATTTTCTTTCTTATTGTGATTGCTAGCATACAGGAAGTTCTTATTGAGCAACGAAAAAAAAGGGTAAATACACACATTCACATAGATATAAAGAAAAAATAGAGTGTGAGAGAATTCTCTTGAGTCTTTTTTTTTGACGAGCATTCATTATCATTTTTCTCTTTTTTTCTATCCCCATATCAATATATTTTTGCAAAATGTTAGCATTCAATGTTATGGATGAAAAAAAGAGACGATAAAGAAAAGAAAAAAAAAATGAGAAAAATATATTATTACTAGAATCGAGAGAAATGTGATGTGGTTTGATGAAAGATGCATAGAACACGAGCGGAAAAGAGAGCACGTCGATAAGAGATCCGAGCTGAGAAGCATACTAGACGGAAAAAGTGAGGGAAACACGTCGAGAAACTAAAGCAAACGAACGATAGCATTCAAAGACACATGCACATACAAGTTTGCTAGTTGAACTTGTGCGTATTAGAATAGAATAGGCGAGAGAGAGAGAGAGAGAGAGAGAGAGAAGGAGAAAAGAACAGAACAAAAAAGCAACAAGATAGTACTACTGTGCAATGGCATAAAACGAGAATATGTAATTAATATGATTGCAGCGTGGCATCGCATTACCCGTCATTGTGTCTCCGGTTGTTCGCTCGCCATCCGGCCCTTCTCTCCTTACTGAATGCTAAGTTCATTGAAAAAGTGGGTGCAAGATGTGGCGGTCGATCTAACTCCACCATCACCATCAGCACCACCACAACCATCAACATCTTCTCCTTCCTTATTATCGTCATCATTAAAATCAGGATCAGCACATCATTATTATTATTCTCCAATACCTTCACATAATCAACAACATTATAATGAACGTTCATCAGCAATGGGTCTCACACGACCTATATCAATGGATAGTGTACGTAGTTCAAAAATGGTTCCTACATCAATGCCACCACCACCAGCATCACCTGTTGAACTTGATTTAAGTCATTTAAATCGTGAAGAACAAGAACATATAGCAAATGTATTACGACGAGCTCGAGCTGTCGATGAACAACAATCATCAGTATCGCCAGTTATTGTTTCTTCAATACAATCACCACCAACATCAATAGTTTCAGCATCATTATCATCTTCAGTATCGTCATCAGTATCATCATCATCAACAAATAGTTTTAATACTGAAAAACCGGAAAATTATGAACAGGACGATAAAAATGATAGTAATGATGTCAATGAAATGTAAGTAGATTATTTTTTTGCATGTTTCATTTGATCTCACGAGAGAATAATTTTTAACAAATTTATTTTTGATAATTTCACACATTATTCAACTATTTATATAAATATCTGCACTCTCTTGTCTATTAATCGTATTGTTAGAAAAATGATGCATATTAAACAAAACGATAAAATAGAAATTGTTTCATTTTTCTTCTTTTTAAGTTTTTTTTTCCAGACACTTTATAAATCTATAAATATATATATATATATATTTAATGATCACGCAAATGTCTAAAAGCTAATGATAAAAAAAAAATAAAAAAAATCCTTCATATTTCCACAGGAGCCAATTATAAAAGATTATAAAAAAAATAGCATCGACTAGATTTCTTCTTCTGTTCTCATTTTCTATTTTTTTGACAAACAAGAATCAAACGCTATTTTTTTCATATAAGAAATCATATAAAGAAAACTTTCATTGGATCAGCCTTAAATTATTGAGTATATATGTTTTTATTTTTATGATGGATGTCGTAGTCTCGACACTCACATTTTTTACCATTTTTTTTTTACTATTGACAGATGTGAAGATGAAGAATTGCCAACACCTATACCGGAATCAACATTAACAACTATTTACCGATGTCAAGTATGTAATAAAAAGCAACAACAGGGAAATACAACAATTTGTCTTCAATGTCAAGAAAATGAAGAAGTTGCTCGATTAACGCAAGACAATACCAATTCTGTAAGTCAATATGTCTATTTATAATACTATTGAATAACTCAAAAAATAAAATAAAATAAAATAAAATCTTTTTTTTTGTCTTTCATTAGCTTACACCAACAAGAAAATCATCATCTCCCATACCAATGGAATTCAATAAACATGACGAAGATAAATTGTATGATAATATAATGAAAACTGATCAGGAACTAATAAAACGAAACTCTCCTATTCATGAGTATTCATATCATATAACTCATCATAATACGAAAAAACTAAATGATAATCAAGATCAAGAAAAACAAGACAATGAAGAAAAACAACTATATCAAACATCAATCTTTGAAACTCAACTACCATTGACATCAGTTTCAATGAAAACACGAACAAATAATTTAACAGAAATCGATGAAGATGATTTTTTCTATCAAGGACCAAGTCCATATACAACAGTAATTGATAATAATCTAATACCAGATAATATTGAAGAACCATTAATACCATCATATAAAATTGATGAATATATTGAAGATGATGATGATAATAATAATGATAATAATAATAACGAACGTGATCATGTCAAAGAATTAGAACAAACTATAGCTAATTTATCTCGACATTTTCCAATATCATCACAACAAATTAATAATATTGAAATAAATCCAATTGTAACAAAATTACAACAACCATCAACATTATCTGTTGATAATATTGATATTGATTCAATTCTTGAAATGGAAATTGAATCACCATCAACAGATGAACATTATATTCAATCATCGTCATCTATTCATCCTACTACAACATCATCACAACATTCTCATAATATACCTATTTCAATACCTATATTAATTAATAATCGTCGAGGAAGTCTTAGTCGTTCATCTGGTATACGAGAAAATTTAACTGATTTACTTACAACAACAACAAAAAAATCAACAATAGAATCTTATCCTTCAAATAATCGACTATTACAACGTACTGCATCGACGCATAGCAAGGTATTCTTTTTTTTTGTTTTCATTATATTTTCGATTCTAGAAAATCATATAATATGGATTAGATAAGAAAATCTCGTTTATTTAGATTCATTAGGATTTATAAAGTTTTCCTTATTTTGATGTATGTTTGATAAACATATGCTAAAATATTCATAGAATTAATAAAATAATTCTATATGCGACGTCTTTCTTGTTTTGTTTTGTTTTGTTTTCATATTAAAATAACACTTCCGCTCATACTAATGATGCAATCCATTTTTTTTTCTTTTTCTTCTTTTCTTTAATGAGGATTAGTAAAGATAAAGATTTTTTTCTAAATATAAAATAATAATTGGATTGTTTTTTTTCTATTTAGCGTAAGATACCAATACATCGACAAAAACGTAATTTACCAACTGTGCCTTTAATAATGGATAATTTACAATTGCGTCGAACTAATTCTGAATCTCGATTTAGTCTTCCAGCTGTACCATTACCTATTCAAATATCTAATAGTAATATAGATGATGAAAGTGATTTACTTGAAATAGATCTTAATGATCCAATTGGCTCAATGAATAAAACGGCACGTTCAAAAACTGAATCTGAGCTAATACATAATAATAACAATAATAATGATATTAATTATTATCAAAAATCATTTAATACAACAAATCAATCACCATCTGTTGATAAATTATCTTCTCCTAATATGCAAATTAAACAATTACGTGATCAAACAACAAATACATCACCTATATCAAATCTTAATTCAACAATTAAAACGAAAAAGAAACTTAAAAAAAAAGGTTTATCATCACCGAATAATACTAATAATCATCATATAAATCCAACATATAATAATGGTCAAACGACTCCAGCTGTAATATCACCAATATTAACAAATCCTCCGAAAATTTTATTATCTTCATCATTATCAACTAACAATACTAATCGTCCAAAATTACAAAAGGTTTTATTTTTATTTTTTTTGTAAATTTAAAATTTAAATGAAAAATATTTTTCATGTCTTTTATAGAGTACAAGTACAGAAATATCTTATCCTTTTTCTGTATCAAAATTAATTTTAAGTCGTGATAGTCTAAATGTATCTCAACAAGGTATATTGTTTTCTTTAATATAGACTTCTATTTATTGATTTATTTTTTTTTTAGATGGTGCCGATCTCGGCTTTTGTATAACAGGTGGTCATTCAATATTGAATTGTATGGAAGTAACAGCACGTATTGAACATATTGATAAACGTCATAGAAATTATAATATATTAAAAAATGCTGTACAAGAAGGTGAAATTCATTTTTATATAGTAAATAAATGTTTTTTTGTTCATATTAAAAATTAAATCTAGGTGATGAAGTTCTTGAAGTTGGTGGAGTATCATTACGCGGTAAAAACGCCTTATTTGTTCAAAATTTAATGAATTCAATACAAGATGAATTTGAAATTGTTGTTCGAAGGTATAAAAAACAAAATAAAATTAGAATAAAGATAATACAATTAATAAAATCTTTTTTTTTTCTTAGTCAACATGTTATACCACCTGTTTCACTTTCAATTGAAATCCATAAACCAGAAAAAATAAATTCCAATATTCAATCAACTAATAATAATCTTACAGTTTTATCTAATACATCATTAATAGTTGATCCAAATATTCAACGAAGACATTCAATGGATACATCACAATATTCTCCAACGCATTTAACAACCAATACAGTTGTTAAATCTCAATCAACAATAATGCCATTACCAAGAGATGATTCAAAGGATGTATCTGAACAATTACTTTCACCTGCAATGACTCCACAGAAACGTGTATCTTCAAAAGAACGTCTTTTCTCTGTTGAATCTCTTCATCGTACATCATCAACTAAATCAACTGAATATTTAATGAAAGTAGCTACACAACCATCATCCGATATAGATCGTCGTCATAGTGGAACATATAATTTATCAGAACAAGAACGTAAATATTCAATAAAACGTGATGAACCAAAACAAACATCATTAACTGTGACTACACCAGAACATGTAAATCATAAAAAAGAAAAAACAAGGAATTTTTATTAAGAAAAACTCTTATTTTTTTTTATTTATTTGCTTTTAGAAAATTTCACATGATGATTCAACAAGTTCACCACAACCAATACAACGTCGTCGAATGTATGAACATCGTAATAGTTTGTTACCAAATGATCCAGGTTTAAATGGAGCTGGAAGTAATCAAAGTATGGATCGACGAAATTCAAATGAATCTGATGAAAGTGATAATCTTTCACAATATTTTCGTTCATCACAAAGTCGAAAAAGTAGTTTAATGGCAACAACTGATGTATCGAATATTTCAAATACAGATATATCTCGTGAACATACAGAAAATGTAATACCAATTAATGATGATAATACTAATATTAATAGAACAATAGATGCATCACATCGTTTACGAAGTTTTATTAAATCAACTGATGAACAACAATTATCAAGAAATTCACTTGGTGATAATTCAATAAATCTTAATAAAACAGACGAAAAAAAATTATCAACTTTAGGTTCATTTAAATTTTTAAAGAAAAAAACAAAATCTGCTGATTTTTCAAATCAAGTATGTTTGAAAATAAAAAAAAAACTAAATACTATGATTTATTTATTTATTTTTTTATTTATTTAATTAGTCAAATGAAATACGTGAAAATGATTATGTTGGTGACATTGAATTACAAATAGGACATAATAGTGAACGTGAACAATTGGTTATAAGAATAATTCGAGCAAAAAATTTACTTGCAAAAGATACAAATGGTTATTCAGATCCATTTGTTAAAGTTTATTTATTACCAGGAAGAGAGTAAGTTCATTTTTAAATACATATATAGTTGATCAAAAATTTTAAAATTACATATAAACAGTAGCAGATTTAGACGAGGAACAATCACTTATTCCCTGCTGAAACATTTTTCGACTTTTTTCTCAATAGAAAACGTCCAAAAATGAGCTGATACGATCTCTGATAGATCTCAAAACACGCTTTATGACCATAATCGTCCTACTTGCCCGAAATTCACTACTATTGCAGAATGTTGTTCGTTAAACTGAACTGTCAATCTAAACTACAATTAAGAAGATGAATAATGTCAATAGAAGAAAAAAGATATTGATCTTGTGAAATAGTTTCGATCGGTAACTCTGTGGATAAAGTAGACTTCAGTGAGATATAAAAAATCTCAAAAGGATAGAACTTCTGAGACCTTTCATCCAGGTTATACGCATTGTACTTGAATTTTAGCCTCTGACATAGTATATACCGACGAATCGAATGACGGTATGTCAACCTGAGGTTTTGCCCACAGACAGGTGTCTTTCATTAGAATGTTCTAAAAATTTCAGCTCAAACAAATGTTTTCTTCTCAAGATATTAAATTCCTAAAAATCACTCCTATTCCACGAAAGATGCTAGAATTTTCTGTTTTTTTTTGGAACTTAAATATCTTAGGAAGGAAACATTCTTTTGAGTCGAAGTTTTCAGAGCATTCTACTAATAAACAGACCTATCTATGGGCGAAATCTCAGGTCGAAATACTGTCATTCAATTTATTAGTATATACAATACCAGAGGCCCAAATCCTAGTAAAATGTCTATTACTCTAAACAGAAGATCTAAGAGAAGTTATCCTTTTGAAACTTTTCATATTTCACTGGAGTCTAACTTATACACCGAGTCCGAATTCAAAAGTGATTGATCAGTTGAAAACATTTCCTCGTCAGGCAAATAGGATCGAAAGTTCGTCATTTTCTTGTTTTTGTAACTTGTAAAATTTGAACTAAAAGAATAGAATGATTTTTACACCAATTCTTTACTTCATTTTTTCAAAACTAAATACTACTGTTACAAAAAAAAATGGTTTCTTATGACTATTCTGTCTCTTAAACGAAAGTAGAGGTATCTTTCAGCTTATAAATGCATTTCCTAGACTTCGTTATATCTTCTTCGTTATTTTTCTAGTCAAGAAAACAAACGTCGAACAAAACATGTCTCAAAAAGTTTAAATCCTGTATGGGATCATGCTGTTATCTATGGAAATATACATCGAGAAGAATTACAATATAAAACGCTTGAATTTACTGTCTGGGATTATGATCGATTTAAAGCAAATGATTTTCTTGGACAAGTCACAATTGATTTGAAAGGTATTTGTTAAGAAGAAAAAAACAAACAAATATTTTCTTTTATGATTGCCTTTTTGTTGTTGTTTTTTTTTTGAATTCTTTAGATGCTAATGTTATTGATGATAAGCCACATTGGTATCGTTTACAAGCATTACGTTCACGTGAAGAAGCTACAAATCGTGGTTCATCTCCACGTTTATTTAAGATGACATCAGTCGATTCAACAGCTTCATCACCGTCAACATCCAATAAAAATATTGTAAATATGCAACCTCTTGTCAATCAACGTAAATAATCGAGAAGTATTAATAATTATATTTTCTTCTCTTGTTTTGTTTTTGTGCTATTTTTTTTATCTATATTCATATATACTGATCTATTCAGATATGAACATATAAATGCATATCTACTGTTACTTAAAACCAACACAAAAAAAAAGAACAGAACTCTTTTTGTTTTTATCTTTCACAAATGATAAATCAAAAGATAATTATATTCATTTTATTTATTTGTTCTATTGTATTTGAATAGAGATTCTTTTTAATATGAGTTTTAACATTTGACGATATACTTTCATATAATAGATATTGTTAAACATCTATCTATTCGATACTTTTTAATAAATGACATTAAATGTGCAAATTTATTGTTTTTCTTTTTTGTTGCCGTGTTAATTGAATCCATTGTAATATGCTGTACCAAAAGAAAGATGATTAATATTTTGTCATTTTTATACCTAAAAATAATTGAATTTCTTTGTAAAAATCTTCTTCAAGATTTGTTTATCTTACTGATAAACTATTATCATTTTTAAATGTAGATTCAGTTTTCTGTATCAAATACACAGTAAGACCTTTTTAATAGTTTTACAACAGATTTTTTTCTTTAAGAATCAGTAGATTTTAGTAACACGATAATTAAGGATAATCTCTCGCTCCTTTTTTGATTATTTCTGGTTCTTGAAGACGGTAGAAGCCGTCAAACTAAAACTTTTACTACAGATAGAGTACCCAAAATAAGGAGACACGTGTTCGCGAAAAACAAATCTTGAAGTGAATTTTTGCGACTTTTTTCCGGGGAAAACTGGTTTTCCATAGGACCGAATCCTGGTTGCTTAGACTTCCCCATCTAACTTTGTGCAATCCAGCTGAAATTTTTACCGCTGACACTTGTAAGTATTCTGCAGAGATAAAATCAGCCATTTTTGTTTTTGACTTTCCTATCTAGATCTACAGGATCCTGAAAGCCAAGATTCCAGTTTTAGCACCGAACATTCACGTATTTCTCTGATAAAAAAAAGGAAAGTAAAATTTTTGAAAAGCTTAAAATTCTGAAATATAGTCTAGTAAATGTACTGAGTTCAAGGTATCCATGCACTAGAACAGTTTTCAGCAGAATATATGAAAATGTACTCTGCTATAAATTGTCTCAGTACGTGGATACTGATCCGGTACTTGTCCAGTTTCTATATAGCATTGTACGAAAAATGTTTCAGCAAGTTAATCAATCGAACACTTCGCAGCATTCTGGAGTCAAGTGATAAAAAACTCAAAAGTTTCTGATACATACCGATAGTAGGGTACTCTTTTGGATAGTTTAAATCCAGTACATTCACTCTGAGAGCTACTCTTACAAAAGTATGAATAAGATTGTAACTTAGCTTATTCATACTTCACAAAAAAAAATGTATAATATGAACGATCAAATCTTCGTCAAACACGACATGAAACCATCTGGAATGAAGTATGTCGAATGAAAACAAGCTTGAAAATTTCTTAATGATACAATTATCTGTGTTACAAGAAATCAAACATATAATATGCCTTCTGATTGATTGATACTTTTCATTAGCATCCAAGTTTACTCTTAGTTGTATTTATTAATACATTATTTCTCAAATACAATAATTTATTAGAATGATGAACATTTTCAGTTACTAGTGGCTAGTAATTATTTGTTTATTGTATATTTTGACCTTCTAAAAGTAGTATGTATGTATCAAAATAATTTGTTGTTTTTTATAACAAAATAAAAAAAAGTAAATATTCAATATATATTTTTTAATTGTCAGATGTCGTTGATATACAGCTAATAACTTAATAATTAAATAAATTTTTCTTTTTTATTATCGATTTTTGTTGACAAATCAATCTGAGAAAAACAAAATATATTTCTTATTAATTTTAACATTGATAAATTACCCAATTATATCAATATAAAATATTTCGTTATGTCTCAATGAATCATCCATATGATTATTATTGACGAAATAAAATACCTGTCAATATTCGATGTTTTTTTCTTTCCTAGGTAGTATGATATTAGTTTTTTAAATCGCAATTGTTCAATTATTATTTATGTTGATTTCGAATGTAAATTGATTTCTTTTTTTTTCGTGACTCAATTTTGAGATTACACGAAAAAAAAGAAAATTTTTTTTTCAATTTTTTTCAATCTCATTTCTAAATAATTTATATTTATTATCGAATGTCCCTTTACCGTCGACCTATACGTCGAATAGTCATATCAGCAAAAACTGGTTTACTTATCAATAAAACAACACTAAAAAGTTTTAGTCAACAAAATATCTATGCACAATTAGAAGAAACTCATCTCGTAAGTCAATGTAAACGTTCGTTCACTTGTACGTGTATAATCTTGAATGACCTTGATTGAATAAGGATATATGAAAACATGTGTGGTACTCATGTGTACGCAAATGGTCAACATACTTAAATTCCTTAAACATACTTGTGGCTTTTTTTTTTTGTTGTTCTCTTTTTAAGTGTTATCGTCGTTTAAGCATTCAATCATTATTGTTTTTAGAGAGATTAAAAGAAAAACAAAAAAACTGATGCTACATCATTTGTTAGTGACGACAGTAGCGTCACCGTCTCTTCAGAGAAAACTCTTTTCTCACCATGCTACAATGAAAGGTTCGGAGGAACAAGTAAGATAAATTCTATTAACGAATATTGATTTTCCTTTTTTTATTGGGAAACAAGATCAATATTTAATGCCTTTCATGCTATGCTATGCATGTTTGCTTTGGTTTTTTTTCCAAATAATTATTTGTACTCACATTCGAATCAATCAGGAAAAAAAAGAGTTACGTCTATAGAATTCTGTTTTTCTTGATGATCAATATACAGTTTATTTGAGTATCAAAACACATTCTCTATAATCCTTTTTCTATCTCTCAACTAACATATATATCGGTTAATATGCTCACCTGAATCTTATATGAAGATTGCATTCTACAATAATAAAAAGGACAACATTGTTTTAGTGTCTACTGATAAGAAAGAGAATTTGTCCTTTTTTTTTATTATTCTTTCAAACAGAAACTAAAAACAAAAAAAGGAATGAAAGATAATAATTATAAAATGAGTGTTGTTGTTCTTTTATTGATAAACTAGTAAAACACGTATCTATTATTTATGCCCTACATGCAATCTATTTTATTATCATACTAGTTCGATTAATGTATGTCGATTCGTCAGAATCTGATATTGAATTATATCCATTTGATTTAACATCACTACTTGTTATTTTACATCCGGCAAATTCAAAACTCATTGATCGATCGCGGCAAATTAATAGTCATCAACTAGTAGGAAAAGAAAAAGATCTGATCGAACTTCTTGATAGAATAGAATTTTTCTAAACAAATTTCTATTAAATATTCACGGATTATAATGTCATATTAAAATCATTTAAGAAATATGATCATACTAATGAGATAGATGAACAAGTTTGATTCTTTTATTCTTGTTTTTTTCGTCGTAATCATTCTTATTTTTATTTAAATCTTAATATTAATTAATTTCTATTATTCCTAGAATACCGAACAACCTCAATTCATCGGTGAAGAACGACAAGATGATGCTATATTTAAAATTTATTTAAAACGAGTTCGACATAAATCTTCAACACTTGTTGATTCATCTTCAACAATAAATACACTTGTTGATGATACAAATGAACAGGTTTTATATTAAAAAAAAGCGAATAATAATAACAATAATAATAATAATTCTTTTTTTTTTATTGTTTTATAGCATGAAACAACCGGTGATAATCATAATAATGACCGTGGTACATTACTGTATTCTACAATAAAAGTATATCAATTAAAAGCTTGTACCCTTGAGAAAATTGTTGAACATTTAACAAATGATACTGGTGAATTAGATACAACAAATATGCATATTCTATTTTCTACATATCGAACATTTACAAATACTCGAACATTAATTGATACATTAATAACACGTTATCGAGCTGTTCTTCCAGCTTCACTTGATATGACTGAAGATGTTCGACAAAAAACTCTTAAGTAAGAAAAATGTTCAAACAAGAAAGAATAGATTTCTTTTATTAGATCATTCTATTTCTTATTTTTATCAGTGAGATTCAAACCGAGTATGAGTATATCTATCTATCTATCTATCTATCTATCTATCCATCTATATCCCTTTATTTATCTTGTTTTGCTTATTTTTGCTTAAGGTTTTATATAAGAAAAAAAAAATGAAAATAAATTTTTGATTATTATTATAATTTAATAAATTATTTTTTGTTTTTTTAGGAGTCTTCATGTAGCAATAACATGTTTTTTAAATTCATGTAAAGAAGATTTTTGTCATCCACCACGTTATTCAATATTAAATCATTTTATAAAACATATACCTGATAGAGATTTACAAAAACAAGGTCAAACATTATTAGAAGAATTTAAAACCGATGAAGAAACTATTAAATTAAATAATAATAATAATAATAATTTAAAAACTAATTTTTTATATAATGAAAAAGGTTTTGATTATATAAAACCATGGAATATACTTGAAATGTCAAGTACAATGATTGCTGAACAATTAACTATTGTTGATGCTGTATGTTAAATTAACTATATATGATTTAAAAAATTGTTTGGTATCTTTTTTTTGTTGTCAAATTTTAGGATTTATTAAAACGTGTCTTACCGTATGAATGTTTAACAATACCAACAGGTGGTTGTTCACGTCGAGCATTAAATAATAATTCAAATCGTATATTATCAACAATCGATAAAACAATTGAATATTTTAATGCTGTTGTTGCTCGTGTTGTAGCAACAATACTTAAAGAACAAGATGAACAAAATCGTGCACATGTTATTGAAAAATGGATTGATGTTGCACATCAATGTCGAAAGCTAAAAAATTTTTCATCATTAACAGCTATTTTAAATGGTCTTCTATCTGGTTGTATATATCGTTTAAATACAGCTTGGTCTCATGTCAAACAAGATTATCAGTCTATATTAGAAGAATTAAAAAATGTTTTTGGTAGTTGTGCAGATAGAAAACAAGCAAGAGCTATTCTTGATAAGGTAAAACTGATTAAAAATAGTTAAGCAATAGTTTTTTTGCTGTAAAATTTCATGATACATATACATACATATATACATATATATATATATATTAGAATACTAAAATATATTCTTTCAGCAATTAGATGAAGTTCGTCTCATGCAACCAGAATACACTGTAGGTTTGAATGTTTTTACATGTCTTTTGTTGATATTTGGCACGCTGATATAATTAGTTGCTTCTAAAGTCCTAAATTTTTGTTTGATTATAAAAAAAAAACAACTAAGAATTAAACAAATGTGTGCATGCATGAAAAATTTCTTTTTTTGTTTAATTTTGCTCTTATAAGTAATTCGTATATAAGTTTTATGTAATTCTAAAATATTTTATTTAGGAATGTGCAGCAAAATATACTCATGTAACTACAGCAATTAATGCAACACTTGGAAGAAAATATCGTCATAAAATGGCACGTGATCAACAGAAACTAGTATGTTTTATAATATAGAATAGTATAATACGATTAATTATTTTTTTTATTTAATCTAGACAATGCTTGGTACAGTACCTTATTTAGGTTTATATCTCAGTGATTTGACATACATCGATTCTGCTTATCCAAATACAATAATCATCGAAGATGATAATTCTCCATCTTGTACATCATCGAAAAAATTAATTAATTTTGAAAAACATCGAAAACAATTTGAAGTTTTAGCTCAAATTAAATTATTTCAATCAGCTGCTAATGCGTATACAACACTACATCCATTACCACGTTTTAAAGCTTGGTTTGATAATGTTCGAATTTATAATGATACTGAAAGGTTAAATTTGATATTCTATTTAAAAAAACAAAGATTATCATTATATGATTTTATTTTAGTTGGGAATTATCCTATCAAATTGAACCAAAAGAAATAATAGATAATTCTCAATCTCAAGAACAATTATTACAAAATCATGGATCTCCATCACTTAAATCGTATTTTATTCATAATTTAAATTAACACATAGAAAAAATTTTTTCTTTTGTTTTAGTACTAGTGAACGATTTCCATCGGAAGTATCATTAGAACCACGAGTAATATCAAATAATAATGAAAATAATGGATCAATGGTAATATCAAGTACTTCATTAAAATCATCATCATCATCAACATCACTTGATAAAATAAGCACGATATCAAATAATTCTCTACGTCAACAGCAACAATTAAGAAAGGATAAAGTAAAATTTAAAAAAAAAAATTCTTTTTTTTCTTTATCTATCCTTAAATAATTTATATTATTTAAAGAATTCTCATATATATCATTCACGATCATCATCAGCTTCGAGTTTTCTAACTTCATCAAATGGTAGTTCAAGTCAAGGTCATCTATCAGCAACGGCATCACCAAAAATTAATACTGGTAATTCAACATCAAATTCTAGTGAAAATGAAGCAATCATTGCAAAAGTACACTTTGCTGGCAACAATGATCTTTTATATAAAAAAGTTCGAGTAAGTTTAACATTATGAACATTTAATAAATAGAATAAAACGTTTAGTCAAAGTATAGTAATTATTAATCCAGTTTCTATTACAGGTCATATTGAGACATCGCATCGATTCCCTATATTCTCTAGAATTCTGATAGACATACTAATTCAGCATAGAAATCGTGAACTTAACGATGAAATCATAGAATACATTATCAACCTACAGTGATTAATAATCTATAAAACTATTTGTTATTCTTATCATAAATACATGAAAATTATTATTTTTAGTAATTCATTTGAGTCATTCCGAAGGTACGATGAGGGAGGGGGTGAACGTGACTATTCTTACTATCGTCAAATTATGAGAAAAAGAAATAGATGCATATTATTCATTATTTTAGTTCGAGATAAATCAGAGAAGGTCATAGGATGTGTGCGCTGCAGATAACCTGTTTGATCCTACAGTGATCCTGTACATGCAGAAATGAAACAATCTTCTTTTAAGATACAGAGCCTGAATGATAATATTTAAGTCCTGCAGGACATTCAGTTGACATCATGGATCGTGATATAATGAAATTCTGATCTACTAATAAAACTCGCCATGAGATATTCCATTAACAGTAGCTACAAGAGTAGATACGATACTAGCGGTTACTGCTTCAGTAAAAAAATTAATTAGCTCAGTTGAATTGGTATTTACTCAATGACGAACACACCTATAACCGAGTCAAATTGATAACATTATTTATTCGTTCTTATGAGAAGTTCAAGAAAAAGTAATAAAAAGAAAACTTATCTTTTCTCGTTATCTATCTGTTTGTATTGATGACATTTTGAATCCTGTTTCTTTATGTTTGTTTTGTTCATCTTATGGATATCAAGTATCTTTTTTATTTTTCAGTACATTTCTACTGGGAAATATATGATAAGGTTCATTAACATGATTGTTGTATTAATAGAGGATTTATAAGATTTAACATTGTACTTCATATACAGATAAGTTTAATATCCTTCTCAAAAAAAGTAATGAAAAGATCATCCTGCAGGATGAATTCTTAATATCCTGCCATACATCATGCACAACACGATGCCTGAATAAAAACGTCCTGCGGGATCCAGGGCAGTACGATGAAAACTGTCCTGTGTCGTTTGCTGAATCTAAATCGAGTGGATAATAAGCCGTATTTCATTGAACTTTTCTTTTAAATTAATTCATAGAAATAACTTTTGACAACTTATGTTTAGTAGAAGCAAAGAAATTAATTTCAATAATGAACACTTATATGAGTTATATATTAAGAAAATCTCTTTTTTTTTGTTTAAGAGCTTTTGAAGACTGACTTATTAAAGAATAACACATAGATTATCTGTACATTTTGATATTTGTTTTTTTTTTGAAAGACAGAAGTTAATATATGACAATATTTTAATGTTCAATAGATAAAAGTCATTATGACATATTGATAAATCAAACAAAACAAAAAACATAAAAGATTACTATCAAAAAATAAAAATGTTATTATAAAATATGAAATGTTATCGATAATAACTCGAGCAAAAAACCGAATGATTTTATATTAGATAATACTAAATGCGTAAAATCAGATATTTACTACATTATTTTTTGCAATGTTTTATTGGTCGAAAAAAAAAAAGAAAAATGTATCCGAAGATTAAATTTACTGTTCGGAAATGTATATTGAGTTTGTGAGAATCTTTTGTGATGTTTACCTATAGATAAACAATAATGAACGAACAACGAGTGTATTAAAAACTATTCTTGATAAATTTGGTCTTGATCCATCAACCCATGATCAATATTGTATTGAACAACAATTACCTGATCGAAGTAAAAATTAGATTTATTATTTTTTCAATAAATTATTTATTGTTATTATAGAAATTCTTATACTTGATCATTGTAATGTATTTTATGCACTTGCTCGTTCATCAGATGATGAACAAGTTGAATTAATTGTAAGAGAAAAAACTCGACAAGAACGTCAACAAAAATGCAATAATCCTTTAAGTGGTGGTGCTGGACACAATCGAACGCCGAGTGGATTTAGCACATCTTCTATTCATAGTCGTTAGAGAAAAAAAATTGCTATTTGTATATAAATATTTTCTTTCTTTTTTTTTCTTTTTTTTTCCATCTATCTACAGTGAACTCTTAACATAATATGTGTTTAGAAATATTTTTTATTCGCTTTGTCGAATCTCTTTTTTTTTGTCTTTTTCATATCAATAATACTTTCATTCCATATTTTGTGAACAAATATAAAGAGCTACTTTTTATTTCTATATTTGTATGTGTATGTGTGGTTTTATCTACCGAACATGTCTTTTTTTTTATGAGGGTTACTAAGCTTTGTCATTTTTGATTTTCTTTTTTTTTCTTTCTTTGATCTCTGGTATGTATTTATTTGAAAAATAAAGGAAACAAAAAGATTTATAATTATCTATTTGTTGACGATAAAGATGAAGAGAAATAAAAGAAAAAAAAAGACAGATGCACATTAATATAGCAAATGGAATGAATAAAAGAAAAAAAGAAGAAAGAGAGAATGTCAGAGAAAAATAATATGAGTACTACTCTTGTCTTGTCGATGTGTCAGCCACAGATAAAGAAAGACAAGTAGACATTTAATATTCTAATTCGTGTTCTTTTTTTGCCATTACTACACAGATTTTTTCAAAAAGAATAAAGCAACAATAACAAACTCGGAGTACCCAATCACATCAATCCAATATGTATGTAGATTAATCATAATAATATTCGAATGAGTGATAGTTTCGACTGACAAAAGAAAATGAATGAGTATCCAGAATTTCATACTATCATTTCTTTGTAGAATAATATTAGCTTACTCATGAATCATTTTGTTTGATGTGAGTGAGTACAAACTTGTTTATTGGTATCAAAATATTCATTCATAACCTTTGAATATCCTCATAAACAACAATGATTTGAAGGACAAGACAATTGATTGTCATAGAATAAACTCCGCTTTTCTCTTTTGTTATTTTCACTTTGTTTTTACTCAAGTGTGTAGTCTTTTATCATTGTCAGATTGTTTTTCCTACTCCCTATTCCGTTACATCTATACTGATTCACCCATAATTATGTTATATAATGTAAGCAACGTAGATTAAGAGCAGTTTTTTCTATAAACAATATCTGTGTTTATATTACGCATCAAATAGAATTTTTCTCATTATACACATTAATAGAGATGTCCAAACAACACGATTTGTTTTTTCTTTATAATTTCTTGTAAATAATAATCCTTATGGTTAGATAGAAAAAAAGTGCGTATCTTTTTTTTCTTCGGTCAATCATTACAAAGCTATAAAATGAACCTAGTTCTATATATATATATATAATTAGATGTTTGTCATTTTAAGAGATTATTTTTGTTTCTATGTATTGAAAAAAGATGCATTGTATTATATACGTTGCTGAATCCGATACAGTCCAAAGGTGCAATATCAGGAGTACTTTTGATATTATTATCATTGTTTGCTTCTTTTTGTACTTTAAAGATGTAAAATATGTTGAAAATATCTTATCTATGAAAGATTAGAGGTAATAGGTCAAAGATAATTGAAAGATAGTTGAGTATTTTAACTATTTTATGTTCTTGTTTTTTTCATTTATTTAGTTAAAAACAATCATGACGGATTACAATGATGAAAAACTTCGAAAAAAATCTCTATCAAAAAAAAATGATAGTGAATCATTATTAGAGAATGATAGAACACATCAATTATCAATTCATACGCGGCAAGGTCATAATAAAGTTTTATCTGAATCGATATTACCATTAATATTATGTTTGGCATGTCCATTTTTTGTTCGATCAATTGTTTTTATATGTGATCATTGCAATGGATCAATAATTGAATTTCTTCAACGTCTTTTATTTGATCAAACAATGACATTAAAAGATGTTTTAGAAGATTTCTTTTATTTTCAATGGCATTGGCCATCAGCTATAATTATTTTAAGTGTTTTTACTTATGCTATTATTATGACTATGTTATTACCTGGTGATGAATATAGTGGACCAATAACAGATACAGGACATGTACCAATCTATCGAAATAATGGTTTCAGTTATTATATTGTTTCGTTAGTTATATTTGCTTTACTAACAGTTATATTAAAATTAAATAATCTTTCTCCAACATATATATATGATCATTGGAAAGAATTTTTATCAACTGTTAATACATTTGCATTTTTATTATGTTTTCTTGTTATGATTAAAGGTAAATATATGCCATCAACAGATGATCATCGATCATCATCAAATTGGTTAACAGATTTTTATCGTGGAGTAGAACTTTATCCAAGAATATTTAATATTGACATTAAACTTATTACAAATTGTCGATATGGAATGTTAACATGGGCACTTTTATCTGTTATTTTTTGTATGAAAACTTTTGAACTTTATGGTTATACAGATAGTGCTTTAGTTACATGTATTTTAACACTTGTGTATTTAACAAAATTTTTTTGGTGGGAATCAGGTAAATTTGATTGTTTTTTTTTAAATTTGAAAAAAAAAAGAACCATATAATTTTATATTTATATATAGGTTATATGAAAACTATTGATATAATTGTTGATCGTGGTGGATTTTATTTATGTTGGGGTTGTCTTGTATGGGTGTCTGGTATTTATACACTTCCATCTTATTTTCTTGTTAAACATCCAAATCAACTTGGATTTACATTAACATCAATTACACTTCTATTAGGTATTCTTTCAATATACGTTAATTATGATTGTGATAGACAAAAAATAGATGTTCGTTCAAAACATGGAGAATGTTTAATATGGGGTAAACCAGCTGAAATAATTCGTGCAAAATATCGTTTATTAAATGGTAAAGAATGTGAAAGTATTTTACTTGCATCTGGTTATTGGTCTTTATCAAGACATTTTCATTATATACCTGAATTAGCATTAGCTTTTCTTTGGACATGTCCATGTGGTTTTAAATATATTTTACCATATTTTTATTTTATTATCTTATTTGTTTTATTAATGCATCGTGCACATCGTGATGATCAAAAATGTACATTAAAATATGGTCAGACATGGGTAAAATATTGTCATTTAGTTCCATGGAAAGTATGGCCTCGAATTTATTAATTAAGAAAAAAGATAAAATACAGAATGAACTTCTCTTTTCTTTTTCATTTTATTTCTTTGTAACACTTGTAAACAAAAAATTAAAAAAAAATGCGTCATATGATTGCATGAACGAATAATAAAATATGATTGCAATCGTATTAATTAATATTGCAACAAATAAAAAGACCACTCATATTATTTATATATATATCAATAGATTAGCTTTTTCTTTTTTGTTTATTTTATATTGATTCTATCACAGTGTAAGATTATTTTCATTATTCAGTATTTCGTTGTGTACGATAGACATTTAATGAATTCAATTCTTCACCACTAATTTTACATTTTATAGGATTTGGTGGAACAGGTAATGATAAAGATAATGGAGCACGTAAACGTGCTAAATCAGTATGTACAATAAAAAGACGATTTTTTAATCGATTATAAAGAGAAATATCAAATGAATGACGATGAGCTTCATGATAAAATTTACGTAGAAATAAACGATCAGTCATTGTCATAAATTCAAAATCAGAACGAGTCATTAAATAAAATGCATAAAATGACATGGCCGTACCAAAAGCAATAAAATATGAAATAGGTTCAACAATATCCCATGAATAAACATCCCATGTAAGTTCAGCTAAAATACCAAGTTGAAATGACATTCCAGCTAAACCATACCATACACAACGAGATATATAACGTTGACATATATTAGCTAATTTGTTTTTAACCTATTAACATCAGAGAAACAAATAAATGGAATAATATTTCTTTATTATCTTATTATTTTCATAATAATCCAAAGAATCTCATTTGAATAAAACTTATAATTTTACTCCCCTATTTCAATCAAATAATAAATTCGGCATAAAATTATAAAAATATCTCCTAGATTAGATAGCGTATTGCATATATAATTATTTCTATTTTTGTCTTATTGCCTAAATATGAATTCTCATTATATGGAAGAACAATAATGATATTTCTTTTGGTTAATTAGTTTTCTAACAAAAAATAAACAACAAGATTTTCATACTTTTTCAAGTGGTTCAAGTTGTATTGTTAATTCATTTGCTTCATTTTTTAGTTCAAGAGATTTATTATGATAAATTTTCATAACGTTTAATGCATGATAAAGTGCAGCAACTGTAGCTTCAGTTGATGAACTATCAGTTTTATTTTGTCTAATAATATTTTCTTTAATTTGTAGGTTTTTAATTGGATCAAAAAGAAATGTACGTTGTTTATTTAATTGTATTGTAAATGGAAAATTCATTAGAGAATTTATTGAATATGATTTAGCTAATAAATGACCGTTTTCATCATGGATATAAACATGTTCAATACCAGCATCTTCAGATTTAATTTCATCTATAAGTTGACCAACTGTTGCTGTTTGTAAATTAAGATGAAAACGGCATGTTTCGTGACGTGATGGTAATATTAATGATAATATTAGAATACTATCACTATAAACTAATGATGATTCTACAATGAATGATAATTTTATTTTCATATCACACGCACATCCTATAAAAGAATCTATTTGGAATTTATTATTTACCTGAAGTAATTGATGGTTTAGTTATAACTGAATACGTGCGATATGTTGTCTTGGAAGCGATTCTTCTTAAACTTATAATCGAACGAAGAAATGAACAAAAATGCATTTTGGGTTTTTTTTAATAATTAATCAAATTCGCATATATATATATATATATATATTATCTTATTTTAGATAAATGTTATCTATTATAAAAGAGATAATAGAATGCATACTGAGACACATTTTTCATTTACTCACATCATATTAAATGGGGAAAAAAAATTTTACATTCATCAAGATATGTAATATTAATTCTATAAAAGGAAGTATTACTTCTGAATAACTTTTTTCTTTCCTTTCTCATTCTTTAGGTTTTTTTTCTCCTGCTTACATGCATTTTCTCAAACTAGTGATACTATGGTAGTAAAAATAGTTGAGTGGAGGTACAAGCACATGCGCGAATTCATAGAATGAAGAATAAGAAGAAAAAGAATCATTGCCCCGGTTTTTTTTCTCTCTGTCCGTGATACGCCATTGCAACTGTTATGAATTGGCTTCTAACTGCAAAGGATGATAGCAAATGTTGTTGAAAGATCAAATATCTCATTGTCACACGCATAATTTGCGTCGTGTTACATTTTTTTGAAAACAAATCAGCTTTTATGTGATTACCAGCTGTCTATACATATCAGTATATCAATTACTAAACAATAACAATTCTAGTCGTCTCATCTTAGAGAACAGTTTAGCCGAAAAGATATTGAAGGGAAAACAAACACAATGAAAATGGTGTTTTTCTATTCAACGCAAATAAATAAGTAGTATTTCTATGTATATATATGTGTCATTCAGTGACGGTTCCAAGAAATCAGCGAGGATATAACCGTTTCTTGGAGCATGCGACTATCATGATCAAAAACAAAGGTCCTTGGAATTCATTCTAACTAGACTAATCTTTTGTTGTTGTTTAGTTTCAAGAATAAAAATAAGAAAACTCGCTTGAGGTAGCGATCGTCGCTTTGCCCCTTATTAATTCCGCCACTAATATCATCCTTATTTCTTTAAGCTTTATAAAACAAGCGAGAAATTTGCCAGTAAATGATAAATGACATAATACATAGATAAAGACCAAACTTGCAATAGATGTCAAAAGCATGACGAAACTAATGCTTTCATTCGTTCGATCAAGATCATTTATATTTATAGAAATAACGATGTTTTTTTTGTCTTTATCTTTGTTTGAGTATTATGGAACTAAAAAATTTATATATGAACTGAACATTTTGTTCATGTCAAATGAAATAATAATACATAAAAGAAAATATTTATTACATGATCAATTCTATTAAAAATAGATCAATAGAAAACGTTTTTTGTTCCATTAAATTTAATCGTATAGTTTAAGTATTTATCTAATCAACATTTTTTATTGACTGTCGAGGACAGTGAGTGAATTTATATTGATCTTGATTTATTATAGTGATTTTCTCGTGCTCGCTTTCTTTTATGTCACAACGTCCGAATTTGATCAGTAAATATATTGTGTGTGTGCATTCTCTCAAATAACGAGTGATTGCTCACACAGAATTAAGAGCCTTTATCATGCACAATATGATTAATGTCAATAATGTCAAACACGAAACAGAGAAAAAAATCAGAAAAACTAATCACCTACATCAAACTCGACTTTTTACAAAGTCATATTTATATCCGGAATCGTGACCTTGGTTTTTTTTATGATCAAGGCATATTTTTATATGCCACAATCATATTTTATTCAATGAAGAACTTCAATTAGAATAACAGTTACAATAAATTTTCTCATGAGACTAACGAGGAAAGTTCCTCAAGTAATCAATTGCTTTTTCGCAGAAACATAAATGACTGTATGCATTTCACTCCGCTGATTTCGAATATTAGGATCTTAGCGGCTCTCAAGCCTTTCCAGATTCTGTGTCATTACTCTTAATCCCCTTCTGATAAGGATGTTTCTCATCAAATTCAATCTTTTAATCAGTCTATCATATAACCATAGGAATACTTTTTTTATAGGCAGTGCAACTTTAAGTTTCAAATAATAAGCTATAAAGCAGTAAAATAATTCATATATTGACTAAAAACAGTTATCTGTCATTTCTTTTCGTTTCATCATCATATATACGCACAAATTAATCATAGTTGTACTATATTCAGCAAAGTATATAACAATAGAAGAAGTAGAAAACACGTATGCTAATTTCTCAGAATATAAAACATTGGCATTTTGAGGACATATTACCAAAACAAGCAGTAAATTCAGTGAAATTATATAATGTAATACATAAGATACAATTATTTTTTCATGCATTCATTATGTGAAAAAAATGAATCCCAAAAGGCTAATTTTGCATATTTAGTCTTTTTCTGTCTTACAGTCCATCTAAGCACTTGAAACTAAAGGTTGAAGTGTCTATAAAAAGTATTCCTATGATTTTATGATAGACTGATTAAAAGATTGAATTTGATGAAAAACATCCTTATCAGAAGAAAGTTCAGAGTAATAACACAGAACCTAGAAAGACCTAAGGATTGTTAATATCCTTATATTCGGAACCAGCGTAGTGAACTACATACAGTCATATATGTTTCTATGAAAAAGTGATTGATCACTTGGAGAGGTTTTTCTCGTAAGAGAGAAGAAAAAAAAAGAAAAGAATGAGTTTTGAAACAAAAAAAAAGGTGCGAGAGAGAGAAACTTTGTTTTTTTTTGTTTTGGTTTTACTAGATGTATTATTTTATAAAAATCTATTGATATTAATGAATAAACGATTTATTTTATCACTATATATATATACACATACATAGATAGATTTGAGATAAATGTCAAAATGAATACTATATTAAAAGAAGAATGGAAAAGAAGATTGAAGAACATTAGTCTAAATTTGATAATGAATCATCACCAAGATGATGTTGTTGTTGAGATGAATTAATCAATAAAGTATTTTCATGTGTTTGATCAAAATTATCCATTGTTGATGAAGAACTTGAACCAGGTACGATTGTATATGGTAAAAGAACATTATTTGTTGGAGTACTGCTTGTATCAATAACTAATTGTGCCTGACAACAAATAAAAAATATTCTTTTTTTTGTTTTTTTGTTTTATAAAATCTAAATACCTGTGGTGATGAATCATCATCATTATCATCATACAAGCCAGGTGATGTCGATGTACGAGATGGTGGTGGTAGAGGTGTTACAAAATTTGTACCCGATCGTTGTTCATTTAAACCTGGTAAATCAGATGATGACATATAAAGTAAATCTGATGTTGAATTATCATTTGATGAAGGTTTTTTAAGAATTGATCGTGGTTGTTGAGAAAAATTTGGCAATGATGTATGACCACTATTAAGTGCAGTTACATTTGGTGGTGTTATAGGCATACGTCCACGTGCTGGTTGTTGTTGAGACCATGATGACC